TACATAACTTACTACTTTCACTGCAGTAAGTATGCTTTGCTGGTTAGTGTATTGGAAGGAATGTAATGAAAGTGCTTCCTCTTCTTGCCTTTACCTATCCTCTGCTTTTACGATTGCTTACACTGGCAGCAATATATTGTAAGAGATATATTGAGAGATATTCAAGTGCTTAAGGTTAAGCTGAGATGAATGTTATTAATAGGAAATGCAAGTTCAAAAGAAGTTACCATCATGTTTTATAGGACATGGCTTTTCTTAAGGGTTGCGAGCTGTGAGCAGTAATGTGTGAATGCTACCAGAAGAAAATACCATTAATAAGAAGCTCCTTGGAGTCTGTTGAGTGTATTTAAGTTAGATTATCTCCCCTCACCAGCCACAGACATGGAAAAAAGGGCTCTTTTTAAAAGAGAGACTTTAGCTTTGGTCAAAAGTATGTCTTTGCTCCAGTTGCAACACTTGCTCTTTGTTGTAAAGCTGCAAGTATTCTTTACACCAGTATTATTCAAAGTAAGATTATGCCAGTGTTTCTCTCATAGTAAAAATAGTGTTGTTTACTAAAGAGATGTTGTGGCTGGCGGTATGACTGTATAAGTAATATGTCACTTCAGGTATATCATTTGCACATTTACTAATTTAAAAAAAACCATGAAGTATTTCATATAAATCTCTAAACCAGATTCCCAGAATATAATCTACGAGAAAACGGTGTAAAAATGTAAAGGAAGATAGTGTCTATATAAACATGCTTTGGTTTTTTGTGGGCCAAGGTTGTATTCTTTTGACCCTGGAATCTTCCTCTTCAGAGATGGAGCATGTAAATCCCCTGGAGCTTCTTCAATTCTCCCCATCGCTTACATCTTATAAAAAAAGCAATACAAATAAGCATATGTTTCTATATTATGCAGGTGCCATGAGAATAAAATTTAAGTATCTTTTCAGTAAAAGTTCAGAAAAGTTTTTAATGGTCTCGCATTATAAGAACAAATCATAACACTTTTATTAGCCTTTTTGAGATGAAGATTTTTTCCTTTGTCAATAAAGAAATAGATTTTTTTAAAAAAATCCAATATTAGCAAAGCGCAACATATAGGGAAAATATATGTACTGGGTAGTACGTTGAGAATAAGTGCCAATATTTTTTATTTAAAATAGATTTTATTAAAGTCACTGGAAAAAACTGTTCTTCAGAAGTTACCTCACAATAGGTCTGATATCTACTGGACATTGTCTCTCAAAGAACTGAGAGATGTGAAACTCAGTAAACTATTTGAAGTACTGGCATTTAAACTCAAATACTATGCTCCGGTATTATAAAATAAAAAAAAAAAAAAGTGCAGGTATGTTTGACCCAAGCAGAAGTATGGGACCCCTGGAGTCTTAAGATATTTTCAGGTGTTGTCCATGTGGAAGGCCAGGGAGCGAGCGGATGGGAGACTTTGTGATGCGCACGTCTGCGCTCCTGCGAGCAGCTGGTGCTGTTTGGCCTCCCAGCTTTGGTAATGTCACTTGCAGGGAAACAGATTTGCAGGCAGTTATTAGACCATGTTAGCTGCACAGATGGTTTGCATACCTCTGAGCAAGAGAAAACAAAAAGGGGGACTGGGAAAAGAGAGTGGTAAAGCAGGCTGTATAATTAAGCAAAGAAGCACACATTTTGTTCGGGCTAAAAGGTATAATTTAAAGAAAGGATTTTGCCTGAACAAAATTATTTGAGTGTCGTATATTCTAACTTGAAAATTAGCATTTTTGCTTTTTTTTTACACGCTGTACGATTAGGTCAGTTGGGAATGGATACCCTCTTGGTAACAATTTAACAGTTGTTCATAGAACCAAATTTTTATCCGGCTGTAAGACAATGAATATCTGAGTCCACGTGACTCCTTGCGGGGAAGATAGTTCAACTGAAATATTAAATATTTCTCACAATCCAAACTCCAGAGAGGTTTGAAAATCTAGTTAATCTCCTTACGTGCAAAACAAATCCGCTGTTACTAGTTAAGGAAATGGAATTGTAGTCAACATCTGCTCCTTGTAATATAGTGAGTGTTAGAGGCAGGTGGCGTGGAAACAGTGAAACCGACATCTTCAGTATTAACTTCTTGTGGGACAGGGACAACGAGTAATTGAAGATTGTTGGTGACGCAAACTATCTGCTGATGCAGAGGAATTTGTGAAAAATGGCTGCTCTTAATGTCTTTGCTAGTGAGAGGAAAGAGGATTTTTATTGTTTTTATAGGCATTTCAGTGATGACTGGTACTGAGTAGCTCAGAAGTGTAGCTTTATTTTAATACTCCTGCAAGGCAGGGGAAGCAGTGCTATTCCTGTTCTACAACGGGAAAATGAGATCCATGGGGAGAACATTCTGGCTTTTCTATAAGTGCTCAGTTGTACAAAGATAATTAAGGAATTATTTTAGGCAGAAAATTAAATCCTCTTCTTCCACTGTTGAAGAAGGATACTATGAGCGGCAACAGGAGAAAATTATCCTTAGTGTAACTTTCCAGTGCAACCATCATTCCCCACAGGAGGCCAAAGGATGTGTAGTTGTGGACAGTTTGGCTCTTAAGTTTCAACATTTTCTCCTTTTTCTTCTGGTCTGAGGCAACAGGTTATCTTGGGAATAGCTCTTTGCATTGAAAACTAGGCGCTTTTTTTAAGGTGGAGATGTTTTGGTATCTAAGTAGCTTACCCGGTGTTGCGCAGCTTTGCACACTCCCTGTGCCCATAGGTTGTTACTCTGCAGTGGTTTGAAAGCAGGCCAAAGTCAGGAGGTACAGATGTCGGGAGGAGCAGACGAAAAGTACCGAGAGTGCATCATCGACACAAATAGGAAGCTCTGCTTATGAAATCTGTGTAAAATTAGACTGGAGAGTATATGCAAAAATAACAATGCAAAGCTTCCACTGACTGTGGATGGAGCTGACAACGTAAATAAGTGGAAATCTGGTGTCTGCGGTTCCATTTCTGAGAGCCTTGGGGAACTGTAGAATCTGGTGGTAGATGAAGCCAAGGAAGTGGCGATAGAAAAACAGACATCTGTTCCTCCACAACTTGCTACATCTCTGGCAGAAAAGTACTTAATAAAGTGTTATCAGAGCAAATATCTGTCAGGGAGGGACAGAACCTTCTATAACAATTTCACTGGAGAAGAAACCATACAAGGTTGCGCTCAGTTTTCTGATTCTGATTAGCCTGATTATACAAGACGAGAAAGCTCTCATCAGTATTTCCTTGCTTGTATTTTTAAACTCATGCATTGGCGTAGGTACAGCTGCCGAGAGACGCTAATAACAGTCAGAAGCACACCGCTGAACCTTTTAGCAGGCCACTATTCTGAAACAAGAATGGGTGTCAGTGTAAGATTTTTCTTGGTATTGGCTTCTACTTATTTTCAGCAGTGTTTGGGTAAGAATTGGCAAGCTTACTGACCCTGGG